GCGCGCCGCAGACCAGCATGCCCAGCCAGAGGCCTGTGGGGACAGTGACAATGGGCACGTGTCCAGCGCCCGCCCCGCCCTCTCCTCACTCCTCCCCACATACCCATGGTTCTCATTCTGACCACAAAGGCCAGAACGATGCCCAGTGGGAGGCCGATGGCGTAGTAGGCGATGGCGTTCACCAAGGCTCCGAAGGCCTGCCGGCCGGTTCCTCTCAGGACTCCGCCGTAGACACACTGGGCGGGAGCAGAGGGGTGGTGAGCAGGGATGGGGCGGGTGGCAGGCAGCAGGCACTTGCTAGGCGGTTTCCTGAACTCTCACGGGTGCTGCTCTCAGCCCCCTTTCCTCTGCGGGGACGGAGCCCGGAGCCCAGGTCACGCCCCGGGTGGCACAGCGGCTGGGTTTCAGGCACAGCGCAGGGCCCGCCTTCGCCTCCACGCCTCATCGCCGCCTAGAAAGGGCGGTAAAACCGGAGACTGCCCGCCAGCTGGCCCGGAGATTGGCCTAACTCATTCGGAGGTGTGAGGTGTTGGTTTCCTATTCTTACCGTAGCAAATCACTGCAAACTTAGAGTTAAAAACAAGACACTGTTGCTTTGTAGTTGGATTGGAAGCCCGATGGGTCTCACCACACTGAAGTCAAGCCTGCTGCCTTCTGGGCCAGAGACAACGTCTCCGCCTTTCCCAGCTCCGGGAGCTACCTGCGCCACAGTGGCGTCGCTCCCCCCTCGCTTCCCTCGTCTCCTTCTCTGGCTCGCCGCCTCCCCTCGCATGAGGCCCCTGGGATGACGCTGGGATCTGGATAATCCAGGATCGTCTCCCCACCCAAGACCCTTGACATCGGAAAATTCCCAGGTCCCGGGATGAGCAGGTGATACTCCTGCGGGCCGGGCCGTCATTCTGCCCACCGCCTGCAAGCCAAGGTGCTGTGCTGTCCATGTGAGGCAGGCAGCCGTGCCTGCTCCGGGGGAGTACGACTCCTGCTTTATTTCCTAGCCTCGTCCTCCCGAGGGACCCGGAGCTAATGAGCTGAAGAAGCGCAGGCACAGCTCACGCTCGTCAGCACTCAGTCGCTGGTGCTTGGTTATTTTTACTTTGTTAAGATGAGGGCTGTGGAGTATGTTGTGGCTGCTACACATCTGAGCAGAGAGGTCATGCCCTGGGGACAGGAGGTGCTGCCTCTTGAGCTTTGAAATATGTGCACACATTGCTCATTGTTATATATCAGGATATAGATGATACTTTTGATTAAGAAAAAGACGTCTCCAAAATTATGCTCGATATGCTCTGGACCAGTATGTCTCAACCTGGGCGGTTTGCCTCCTGGAAGTGTTTGGCAATGGCTTTGATTGTCACAACTGGGGGGGGGGGGGGGGGGGGGCAAAAAACGAGAGGGGGGGGGGGGGGCGGTGCTCCTGGCATCTAGTGGGTTGAGGCCAGGGATGCTGCTGAACACCCTCCAGTGCCCAGGGCAGCCCTCCTGCAACAAGGAATGGTCAGGAGGGCCAAGCTCGAGAGGCCTTTAGAACACAATGCCGTGGCAGGGCGGGGCACAGGAGGGCCGGTGGTGCGGGGCTGCCTAGGAGAAGCAATGGGCTGGTGGACTCAATAGTGAGCTCCAAGAGCGGAGATGGCCAGGGGAGGCGGGGGAGCTGGCTCAGTTCTCCACGTACCCCACGGTAGCTGGAAGCTGAGCGTGTGTGGAGCAGAGATGAACAGACCCGTGCCACCCACACCTCCCAGACAGTGGAGCCTGGGCATGGACAGAAGAGACACAAGAGGACCCAGAAGGAAGTCAACGCTGAGCAGACTTACAAACAGCCTGAGTGTGCCCCCAGCCCACACGCGGATCCTCCAGCAGGAAATGGGAGCCTTACCAATGGTCAGAGGTCTCTGACCACAATCTCCAATCGGTGACTGGCTGGCCACTGAGCTATGCAAACAGGGAAGTGCCCCCTAGGAAGCTAAGCTTAAAAATAAACAAGAAACACACACGCACACAAAACTAAGCAGAGATATCAGCTGCAGGTTGTGGAGGCAGGATTCACAGAAATAGTCCGGGCAAGTTACTAAACAGAACAACAGGCCTTGGGGAGAAGTCACACATGACAAGCTCCAGGATGGACCTATGCTAGGCCACAAAGCAGGTCACAGTACATTTTTAAATATTGAATTCATATAAAATATGTTCTCTGGCCATAACAGAGTGAAATTAGAGGTGCCTACCAGAAAGAACCTGGGAACAACCCAAATATTGAGAAATTAACACACTTCTAAACTCAGGAGTCAATAACTCACAAGAGGAATTTTAAATATTTTAAACTGAATGAAAAGGAAAACAACATGCCAAAACCTGTTAGATGCAGCGGACGCAGCACGTACTGGGGGGATGTATGGTTCTACATGCCTGGGTCAGGAGAGAAGAAGGAGCTCCGTCAGTAGCCTAACGTACCACCCGCCGAAGCCAGTGAAGCAGAGCAAACTGTACCCAAGGAGCAGAAGATGGGCGTAAGCTGATCAGCGTGAGATCATCGGAACCAAACATTCTACTTCCTTGATGAGATCCGCAAAACTGGCAAACACCAAGGAGTCGACATTGGTAAATAAGACCAAGAAAACAGCAAAGTGAAGCCACAAGTTACCAAGATCAAGAATGAAAGAAGGGACGTTGCTCCTGGCTATAAAGAAAGGATTATAAGGGAATACTATGAGCAACTTCATGCCAAAGAATTAGCTTAGTTGAAGTGAATACATTCTTAGAAAGACAAATTACCAAAACTAACTCAATAATAGAAGGGAAATATACCTATAACAAGTCAATAAATTGAATTACTTTAAAATCTTCTGACAAAAGCTCAGGCCCAGATGGTATCATTGGTGAATTCTGTCAAATATTTAGAGGAGAAGCAATGCCAATCCTCCACAAACTCAAAAAGTGTAAGAGTAGAGAACACTTTCAAAATCCTTCTATGAAACCAATGTCACCCTTACACCATGCCAGGTCAGGATATTACAGGGAAAAGATAAACATTACAGACGAGCACTGGCCAGGTGGCACAGTTGGTTGGCGCATTGTCCTATACAACAAAAGGTTGCAGGTTTGATTCCCGGTCAGGGCACATGCCTCGGCTGCAGGCATGATCCCCAGTTGGAGCACGTATGGGAGGCAACTGATTGATTTTTTCTCTCACATTGATCTCTCTCTCTCTTCCTCTCTCTAAAAAAAAAAACAATAAAAACATCCTTGGGTAAGGATTACAAGTAAATAAATAGAAAATTTAAAATTACAGGCGAATATTCCTCATGAATATAGATGTAAAATCTTTTAACAAAATATTAGCAAGCCAAATGCACCAATATATAGAAAAGATATACACCATGATCTGGAGGAGTTTATCCTAGGAATGCAAGGTATAACATTTGAAAATCAGATCATGTAATTATACCATATTAATAGAACAAAAACCATAGGATTATCCCAATAGATACAGAACAACATTCTTCAAATCCATGAGAAAATGTGTCAACACAGTAGGAGTAGAAGGGCTCTTCCTTAACCTGGTAAAGGGTGTTTGTAAAAACCTTACAGGTAACACATTTGATGCTGAAAGACTGAATACTTCCCCCAGCATTGGGCACAAGGCATAGATGAAACATCTTTCGACTTCTACTCAATATTGTCCTGAGATTCTAACCAGATGAAAAGGAAAAAGTAAAACTCTTTATTCCCAGATGACACGATCCTATATGTAGGAAATCTTAAGGAATCCACATAAAAAAATGACTAGAATGAATTTAACCAGGTCACAGGATAAAAGATCAATAAACAAAATCCCTTCACTGTAAACTCTCTGTTGGCGATAGTTTGACTTCTTTCCTGCATGAAGCCAAGAGCCCACAGTGGGTGGTGGACCCTCGGGCCCCCAACCCCGCGGTGCCTGCATCACAGCCACTTCGGGAAACAGTTTGGCAATTACTTAGAAATTTAAACATAAACTTATTATTCAACCGAACAATTCAAGTCCTAGGACTGTAAAAGGAGAAATGAAACCATACGTTCACACAGAGGACTTGTACGAGAATGTTCCCAGCAGCCTTAGTCATAATAGCCAAAACCAGAAACAACCCAGAAGCCCACTCACTGGTGACTGGATAGGCAAAATGTGCTACACCCACACAATGGACTATTATTTGTCACAAAAAGGAATGAAGTCCTGAAAAAGTACTACAACATGTATAAACCTCAAAACGTCACCCTCAGTTAAAAAGGCAGCTACAAAAGACGACCTATGTTTCATTTACATGAGCTGTTCATAAAAGGCAAAGTTCACACACCTATGGAAAGTACCTCAGTGGGTGCCTGGGGCCGGCCAGGGGCAGGGACTGACTGTGAAACAGGCCCCCAGAAATTTGGGAGTGATGGACAGATTCTGAAACTGGATTGCCGTGATGGTTGACAACTCTACATTTACTTAAAATCATTCAATTATTCACTGAAAATGTGTGAATTTTATGGTATGTGATTATAATTCAATAAAAGTATAAAAACGAAAATAATGTCCATGGAAAACATAAATGGAGAATAATGTCAACATAGCCAGGAGGAAAGGCCTCTTGCAATTGCTAGTTGCAAAGTTGTTTCCAAGTTCCTTGCGGTGAACGTGCGCGGAGAAGCGCTGCCTGGGAGGGAGGCAGGCCTAGCTCCCTGAAGCACAGCTCTCCAGCCTGCCAGCGTCAGGAGGAACACTGACCAGTAACCCTAACAGCATCCTCTGACCCCCCACAAGGTAGTTCCCCTTCATGGTCCATGATAAAAGCTACAGATACGACGACAGAACAGCCCGGAGGACACGCGCTGCCGGGGCTGACGGTGCTGCGCCTGTGCTCTCTGAACACCCAGCCAGACTCAGAGGGAAGTCCCAGGGCAGGGCAGCCGGGCAGTGAGCGCTGGGCCCTGGGAAGCCCCCGAAAACCAGCTCTCCCGGGTGGATTCCGGAGCTGGGCTCTGCGCTGCTGGGCTCGCCTAACTCAGACGGCAAGAGGAGACACAGGTTCCTACTCCTGCTTGGGAATGAGCCCGCAGTGCTCTCCTCTTTCACGCCGTGCTTTTTCAAACCCCCAGAGTTCAAGTCTGTGCTCAGTGGAACCTCCCTTTAGTGGGCAAAGGGGAGAAAATTCCAGTCCCTCTGCATTCGGGATTGACCCCCGCCCTCCCAGAGATGCCCCTTCGCACTGGCTACAGGTGTGGCTGCCGTCGAGCTCCTGGCCAGGCAGGGCCCAGGTCAGTGCCTGTGGCCCCGGCTCAGGGTAACAAGGACGGACAAAGATCTGTGCACTTACGCTGGTGCAACTTTTCAGTTTTGCTCACCTGCATTCATCGTTTGGCTTGTTGGAGTTGCAGGAGGCAAGGGAGCCATTGTTTTGAATAAAAATAGACCTACTATGAGTAAATACTCTGGGCACTCACTGTACAGGTAGCCCCCTCCGTGTAGCGATACATAGAGAGGCCCGGGGAAGGCGGCACAGCGTACTCACACAGATGGCCTCAAACAGCTGGAAGACGATGTAAATGGGCATGACCTTGTTCACCAGGGCGATGACCTCCCTGCAGGGGAAGCAGGAACGGACCTTCGTTGGGAGCACTGAGACAGGACTTATTCTGAGAGACCTGCTCGTATTCCCTCTCTTACACCTCCTCCCAACATGGCCACCCATGCAACCCAGCTCCCCTGGCCCGAGTCTCCATGTCTGTGGGTCTCTGGACAGGCAAGTGGTGGAGGCCAGGCCTGGGGGACGAGCCCAGATGCTGGCGTCTCTCCGTGAGGGCAAAGCCAGGCCTAGCCCTGCTCCCTGTGAATCCAGGGCCAAGCCAGGCTTGTGACAACCCCCTGTGACGTTTCCCAGAAGTCAGTGAAGAAAACCGATTACCTACTCATCATTGGTAAAGATATAACCCAGGTTATTTTTCAGGAGGCTCAGCAGGGTGCCGATAACCAGCGAGGTGCCAACTGAGAGAGACAAAGGAAGAGCATTTGGCTAAACAGCCCATGGCGAGTCCAGCCGGTTGGCACAGGTCAGCCCAGCCCCCCACCAGGGCCTCCTGTCCTGCATTAGAGCCAGTCACTGGGACTGTGACATTACTTTGCCGCCCTGTAGGAAGGACGACATATAAAATGCCTTTCCCGTGGTTCTCCAAGTGGGGTTCCTGGGCCAGCAGCATCAGGATTGCCTGGTCACGTGCTGGACATGCTGATTCTCAGACTCCCATCTCTAACCTACGAGCCAGAATCTGCCCGGGGAGGCCGGGGCCTGTGCTGTGGGCGGCCTCTAGGGGACCCAGAGCCACCTGAAGCCTGAGCACTCTGCTCTCCGCAGAGGAGCTGATCGGAACCTGTCGGCCCAGAGCCGAGCCCGGTGAGGACACAGGGCTGGTTCCTTCTGAGGGGTGGCCTGGGCGGCCCTGCTCCTGGGGGTGCTGGAGGGCAAGCCTGCAGAGCTCCCTGGGCGGCCGGAGGGAAGCGCCCGGGGAGGGTCACACTAAGGTGTGTGGTGGCAAGCTGCCCCCAGAAGGCCCGGGAGCCCAGCAGAGGGTGGGGAAGGAGCGCAACAGGCTAGAGTGGGGACTGAGGTACCGTCCACGTATCAGCCAGGACTGCTCTGGGCCCGACACAGGTGTAGCCGGTGGAATAAGCCTGGCCGCTCCATGGCAGCCCGGCCGCCAGCACCCAGGCCTCCCCGGCCCAGGCCCCTGACCCCCCAGCTTGCCAAGTCCCCTCCCCTGGGAGAGGACTCCCCCACCTGTGCAGAGCACGCCTGAGACGGCGGATCGCTGGGCTTGCACGGTGTCTGCAGCTCCCAGGGACGTCCCTACTCGGACGCAGACAGAGATGCTGAGCCCCATGGGAATCTGGGATCGAGATAAGAAGGTGCTGTCAGTGGAGCCAGCCTGGGCCCTGGGATGGGGTGGCCCCCCAGCCCCCCAGCCCCGGCCGAGGAGGAGCGAGAAGGCTAGATGGATCCCAGGCAGGCAGCGTGAGAAGAGCTGCTGCAAACAGGCGGTGGCCTCTGATGCTGGGCGATGGGGTGGGGATAGTGAGCCAGCAATCGCCGCACCATCCACCCCATCAAACATCACAGGCAGACGGGCCTTGCAGTCAAACTCACTGTGTTCCCCAAACTCATGAGGAAGTGAATGTTTAAATGGCCCTAAGTTGCCAGGAAAGCTCCCTGGAGGAAAAAAATGTTTCCGTAAAAACCATCTGTAAAAATAAGAATCACCTTATAAGTTAGTTTTGTCAGTGTAGGTTTTTATGACCCTTTGCTAAGCCTGCGGGCCCAGGAGCCTGGCGGGTTCGCACATGAGTGACACGGACAGCCATGTCTCTAGAGAAAGGAGGGACCCTGTCGGAGAAGAGGATCCCCCCGGGACTCTGTCACCCAGTTCTCTCTAAGGCAGCGGTTCTCAACCTGTGGGTCGAGACCCCTTTGGCGGTCGAACGACCCTTTCACAGGGGTCGCCTAAGACCATCCTGCATATCAGATATTTACATTACGATTCATAACAGTAGCAGCATTACAGTTATGAAGTAGCAACGAAAATAATTTTATGGTTGGGTCACAACATGAGGAACTGTATTTCAAGGGCCAGAAGGTTGAGAACCACTGCTCTAAGGGGTGCAGGGATATGGGCCCAATGCTAAATGGAAAATGCAGAGATCCAGATTAGGTGTAAAATCTCCTCATTTTGAAATGGTGTTAATTAGAAAAGAATTCTTCTAACACCGGGTGAGTTCAGTGTTAGCCCGGGGTGGCTGGGGTGTCTGTGTGTGAGTCTGGCAGGGCCTGGACCTGACGGGCATGGGGAGCCCGGGAGGGCCCCTTGGGACAGAGTGACAGCCTGCTCCCTCCTGTGCCGCCCCAGGGCAATGGGGGTGCAGGTCGGACGGAGGGCACTCACCATGTAGGTGACTGTAGCCACCTCGTAGATGACGGCCTGGGCAGAGAGATCCACCATGCTCAGCAGGCCTGCGGAGGGGAGGGGTGAGCAGGCCTGCGGAGGGGAGGGGTGAGCAGGCCTGCGGAGGGGAGGGGTGAGCAGGCCTGCGGAGGGGAGGGGTGAGCAGGCCTGCGGAGGGGAGGGGTGAGCAGGCCTGCGGAGGGGAGGGGTGAGCAGGCCTGCGGAGGGGAGGGGTGAGCAGGCCTGCGGAGGGGAGGGGTGAGCAGGCCTGCGGAGGGGAGGGGGGCACCCTCCGATTTGGGGTAAGTGGTTTTGAAGGGCAAATTCACAACCGAACATGTCCTGCTGGGCCTCCAGCCTTCCAGGAAAGCCCTGCCCAGCCACGGAATTTCCTGCAGGCTGTTCCCGGGAGGGTTTGGCTTGCGAGCTGAATGCAAAGCATGTGGCCTGGTGTGCAAAGACAACTGGGCCAGGACCAGGAAACCCAGCTGGGCCGCGGTGCGGCTCTAAGCTGAACACGAAGCATGTGGCCTGGTGTGCAAAGACAACTGGGCCACAACCTGCATGCCCAGGAGCCTGGCAGGTTCGCACATAAGTGACAGGACCAGGAAACCCAGCTGGGCCGCGGTGCGGCTCTGGACAGCGCTCTGTGCCGGGCCTGGCTTCCTGGCTGTCCGTGGGGGCAGGGCCACCTGGAAGGTCCTGGGTGAGTGCAGCTCGGCCCAGCTCTCAGGCAGTTCGGGCTCCGTGCTGAGCGCTCAGGGGAGAGCCATGCCGCCAGGCCCACGCGCACTCGCGCACCATCCATTCCACCTCCCACTCGCTCGGCGACTTGCCACCTGCACTGGGTGCCCACTCGGTGCCAGGGCAGTGCTGGCATCCACCACAGAAGGCCAGGCCTGCCCCCGGGAGCTCACAGACTGAGGGAGACAGTGCACCACCGACCTGGCCTGGGCGACTGGCCAACTACCTGTCAGGGAGGGGCTTCTGAGCTGGGTGAGCCGCCCACGGGCCCAC